GAGCCGGCAGGGACCCAGAGGTGGGAATGGAGTTGGGGGGTGGGGGTGGGTCAGACAGGCCGAGGGTGCAGTATGGATGTCTGGGAGACAGGCCAGCCTCAGCACTGCGTTTGCGGACCCTAGCATGAAGCCTCAGTGTTGAGGCGATTGGGTTTTTTTCCATAGAAGGAAGTCTTCAGTTCAGGCCTGAATGAATGAATGACCTTTCTCCCTTTCCCTGAGGCCTGGAATTGGGAGGGGCTGCCCTAGGAATGGAGAAGGGGCCTTGCAAGGTTTTTGATGGCACCTTGGTTTTGAAGTTGGGCCTTATCAGTCTTGGGGTGTAAAATTCAATGAAAATTGGCCCTTCTGGGAGAAGAGCACTTGGGCCCGGCCAGGAATGTGGGGCCCAGGGAGGTGAGTCCTGACCCAGCTGCAGCCCCTGTGGACTGGTCTGGCCTGATCTGGTCCAGGCCTTCTGAGGTAGGTCTGGTTTTGGGCTTTGATGACTCGCCCTGCCCCACCCTGTGTGGTGGACTGGAGAGGCTCCCCATGCAGGTATGTGGAGGGATTGAACTCTAAACACTCTCTGCTGACTATAAACACTAGTGGGGTGGGGGCTTGGGGCCTGCCTGCCGGTCACAAGCTGCTGAGTGGGCCCTGCCCTTCCCATCATGTGCGAGTAAGGGGTCATTTGTGGTGGGAGAAGTGGCCTGTACTTCCCCTTTTGTCCTAAGCGACGCCTACTATTTCCACATCTTCCAGAGCTGCCTGCTCTCCCGTGCCTCCCAGCAGGCTGCTGTACCCCCTTTTCCCTCACCCTTTTCTGCTCTTTGCCTCCGGAATGCCTCCAGGGCCAGTGCCTGGCCACTTGTGGGTTGTTGATTGTCTGTCATTGACCATTCAGCAATTCTCCATTGAGCTCCTACTATGTGCCAGGCACTGAGGGACATTGGTGAACAAAACAAGAACCCTGCTCATGTGGAACTTGAAATCTGGCTGAGTTTGCACCCGAACCCTTTTTCCATATCCAGCTCCTGGCCTCCTTCTGGTCACCAGGTGCCTCTCTTCCTGTCCTTCTAGAACTTACTTGGTACTTTTGAATAGAGCCTGACCAGCAGGTCTTTGGAAGTTACTGAGACAGGGTATCACTGGTGCAGAGGTGTTTTGCTTGCCCCAGGCTCCTGGGAATTGGGGCCACCCGTCTGGTTGGCTCGTATGCAGCTTCACTCCTGCTCCCCTCCCTACATGGGGCTTACTGTGGCCCTACAGTAGATAGCTTCTTACTTGGTCAGTTGGGTCAGACTCTGACTTAATTTCTTTCTCTAGAACCTTTCTCCAGGGCCTGTCTTCGTCTACTTCCTTGTGCCTTCCTGAACAGTTCTCAGGCCTCAGGTGCTGCTGCCAGGGTGAGTGCAAGCTCTGTCCGCTGCTCCTGGCCCAGATTGCCCCTGGCCTGCCTAGCACTTGGCTGACTGGTGTTCTTACGACTGAATGAGGTCCACTCCCGCTCCCAATCCCCATCACCCATTCCAGCTTCCCTTCTTTTCTTAACTTAATGAGCCAAGTCTTGTATATTTTTTCTTCATCATGTCTTCCATGGAGCCATCAGTTGCTCCTTTTCCATATCTTCTGTGACTTCCTTCCTACCAGTGAGCCACTGGTGTTTGGCGCTATGTTCACAGAACTGTGTCCTGATTCCTCTTTCTGTTCCCTGCTCCATCTGGAGCACCTTGAGGCTTGGAATCTGGAGCTGGCATCCAGGGTCTTCCCAGCCCAGCAGCCTGGGCCAGGCTGCTTTTCCCTCTTGATGGTCATCCTTGTTTCTTCCCTTTGTTCCTTTTGTGGCTTCTCCACCCCCAGGGGAAGCACAGCCACATGATCTCCATGCTGCACTCTACAGAGAAGGGCCCAGCTCACTTGCCGACTCTCACCCGCTCCAGCCTTGCAGCAGGGCCCACTGCCTGGGGCTCTGGCTTCCCTGTAATGGGGTCTCACCCAGTGCCACCTATCAGTCTGTGCCCTCCTCCTTGCATAATGAGCCCTGGCGCTGGCCTGGTGTGGCGCTGGGCCCGTAGTAGGAGGCTGAAGAATGCACTGTTGCTCCAGGAGCAGCTTGGTGAAGATTGGCACCTGAAGGCTGGATGTCCGGGGTGTGGAGGGGAAGCAGTGAAGGTCCTACTGCCCCCACCGCTGCCTCCCTCCCTCTGCTCCCTATCTGGTGTCTCTGCTCTGTGTGGTCTGGAATCTTCTTCCTCTTGCCTCGCCTTTCTGTGACCACCTACTAACTATCAGCCCTCCACTCAGTTGTCACCTCCCTTATGAAACCTTTCCCCAGTCCTCCCCACTCTTCCTGGAACGTGTTGCCATGCTTGGAGGGGCTGCGTCCGTCTCTTCACCAGGCTCAGAGCCCTGGGAAGGCAGAGCCCCTCTGACCTCATCCCTGCTCTGCAATGAGCACAGATTAGTCATCTTTTGACAGCCCAAACAGGTGAGTCAAAGATGCACAGGAATGTCTGGGATTGTCCTGGCCCCTTCCACCTCTGACCCATGTCAGCATCTGCTCAAGCCGCACATTGGGAGCCTTGAGGGTGGTGACTGGAGTCAGAAGAGCTGCCTGGGCCCCTGCGGTTCTCTGTTGTACTTGCAAACGTTTTTCTTAGGCTTGGAAGACAGGCCAGGAGAAGGGGGGCTTTCAGGAAGGCAGCCCACCCTGGGAAGAGGGAGAAGGGATAGTGGCAGGGGAGACAGGAGTCCTGCAGTGCCTAGAGCCTCCCCCCCACCCCAGTTACCGGAGGCCTCAGCACAAGCTAGGCTTCTCACAGGTCTGCAGGGGCCTTGGGGTCAGCCTGGGTGATGGCTTCACGGCCCACTGTCTTTCCTGTACCCTGTCCTCTCTTTGACTTGCCCTTTCTCTGGTTGTTCAGAGAGGATTCTCCCTGAACTCAAGGGTCCTGGCCTGCTCTGGCTGAGGGTGCCGAGAGCTGCCTTTTCTGGCAGAGCATTCAGCCTGTTGACAGACATACTAGCCCTTGCTGCAGCGTGTCCCTGGGCTGGGAGTTGTGGGAAGTGCGGTGGGCAGGGTGGGGAGTGGGCGAACCTCTGGCCTGAGAAGACGAGAATTGCCAGGCCAGCTTCCCCTGACCCTGCACGGCAGTGGCTCTTCCAGCATGTTATCTCTGCACTTAGTCCCAGGGCTTGTGGGCTGACCTGGGCTCAACATCTGGGCTGTTGACATAGCTCGTGCCTTTCCAGGCCTTTCCTGACGTGGGAAAGTGCCTGGTGGGACAAAAGGTGCCCAGAATCTGCAAGGCTTCTGTGCCCAGCTGCTTGTTTCCCCACGTGACAGGGCAGCCTGTCACAGCTCCACCTTTTAGGTCTGAGGCTCCATGGAAGCATGGGATCTATGTAGCAAGCATGGGGAGTGCTGTTGAGCCTGGGTTCGGATTTCACAGGAAAGCAGGAGCCCATATGGGCCAGACAGCCACGGAGGGCATCTGGTGGAGGAACCCATACCGTGGGTTCCTTGAGTGCCCAGCTATGGCTGTTCCTCTGAAAGCCACCTGCTCCTGGCCGAGTGCCACTTTTGTCTTGTCCCTTGCGGGTGATAACTTGTGTTGGCCTTCAAGTATGCCAAAAGCTGCCCCAGGGTCCTGGCCACAGGTGCTCTGGGCTCACCTCATCTTCTCCCCCTCAGCCCTGGGTGCCGCCTATGGCACAGCCAAGAGTGGCACCGGCATCGCAGCCATGTCTGTCATGCGGCCAGAGCTGATCATGAAGTCCATCATCCCGGTGGTCATGGCCGGTATCATCGCAATCTATGGCCTGGTGGTGGCAGTCCTCATTGCCAACTCCCTGAATGATGGCATCAGTCTCTACAGGTGAGGCCTGGGTTGCTCTCCCTACACCCTGCCTGGGGTAAAGCCACTGTGCGGAGCCAGGAGGGGTCTTGGGTGGATGGCTGGTGACCCATGCCTGCTGCCTTCTATGGCTGTTGGCTAACATCCATCCTGTGTACTCTCTCCCCCAGGAGTTTCCTTCAACTGGGCGCTGGCCTGAGCGTGGGCCTGAGTGGGCTGGCAGCTGGCTTTGCCATCGGCATCGTGGGGGACGCCGGTGTGCGGGGCACTGCCCAGCAGCCCCGGCTATTCGTGGGCATGATCCTGATCCTCATCTTCGCCGAGGTGCTCGGCCTCTACGGTCTCATCGTCGCCCTCATCCTCTCCACAAAGTAGCCCCTCCGGGCCCACCAGCCACAGAATATGATGTAAAGACCACCCCCTCCTCATTCCAGAACGAACAGCCTGACACACACGCACGGGGCAGCTGCCTGCCAGTAGTTGGTCTTGTAAATGCGCAGTGTCCTAGTGCCCATTGTCTGTTGCCCCCAGCCTTGCCCCTGCCCGCCCCGTGCTGTGGACATCTGGGCCCACCACTCCCGGTCCAGGCCCCTGACCAGTGAGGATGCAGGCCTCTGGCCGCCCCCACCCATTTGCCCTAGAGTGCTCTGTGTATAAGGATGAATTAGAGTTGTCATTTTCTCTTCACTGGATGTTTATTTATAAAGATTTGACCTGTTCATACGTCTATGGAGCAGCCCTCTGTCTCCCAACTCTATAGTAATCTTAGGTAGACTGTTGAATTGTGCGGTTACCGTTTGCCCTGAGATGCGTTGGATGGAACCACCTCCTGCAGCCCTGGCTGCCAGGGCCGTGGCGCAGTGTGTTGGGCCCACTGGGCCCTGGCGCCGAACCGTGTCCAATAAAGTTCTCGGATGTGACTGGATGCCTGGGTGTGGGTCGCTTGTTGGGTCCCGGGGCTCGAGGGTGGCGGGGCCGGGAGGGAGGGGCCGAGGGCCGGGCCACCCGGGGAAGACGTCGCTGCGTCATTGTGGACTGCGCTGGTCACGTGGGTGCCCGGATCACGTGGGCACGCCTCAGCTGAGGGTCACGTGCGCCCGGCCAAGCTCTAGGCCGGAACTCGGCGCGGGATCCGGCGGCTCCCGCTTGGTTGGGCTCAGGATGCGCGGCGGGCAGGGCGCGGCGCGGGCCCCGGTGATCCAGTTCACCAACTGTCGCATCCTGCGGGGCCGGGCGCTGCTCAGGTGGGCGCAGGCCGGGTCCGGGGCTGCCCTGGTGTGCTCCGGGGCCGCTGATGCGAACCTCCGCCCCGCTCTGTGCGCAGGGAGGATCTGTGGGTGCGCGGGGGCTGCATTCTGGACCCGGAGAAGCTATTCTTTGAGGAGCGGCGCGTGGCTGACGAGCAGAGGGACTGCGGGGGCTGCATCGTAGCGCCTGGCTTCATCGACGTGCAGATCAACGGTGTGGTCCGGAGCCCGCGGGGCGGGGACCCAGAGGAGGAGCTCTGAGCACCGTGTGATCCCCTCTTGTCTGTACCGCAGGTGGGTTTGGTGTTGACTTCTCTCAGGCTACAGAGGACGTGGGTTCGGGAGTCGCCCTGGTGGCCCGGAGGATCCTGCCGCACGGAGTCACCTCCTTCTGTCCCACGTTGGTCACCTCGCCACCGGAGGTTTATTGCAAGGTGAGGTCAGGCTCCCAGCCTCAAGTGAAGGAGGCCCCAGGAACACCCAGCCTCTTAATTTTCAAATCTGATCTCTTTGCCTCATGAACACCCCTTGGCCCTTGAGTCTGGCCTCACCTGCTGGCCTCCCTCCACCCAAGCTTGGGGGTCCCCTCCCCTGGGCTTTCTCATCCAGGTGTTCCTCCGCCTGGTGTGCCACTGCGGGTCTGACTGTCCCCATGGGCTTCCGCATTCGCTGCCTCAGCCACCTGCATACGCCCTTCCCACCCTGCAGTCTGGCCGCCTCCAGGCACCTCCTTGACTAAGGCTGCTGGGGACTCTGTGATTGCCACGTCCTTAGTTGATCATCTTTCCCTCATGAACACCCCTTGGCCCTTGAGTCTGGCCTCACCTGCTGGCCTCCCTCCACCCAAGCTTGGGGGTCCCCTCCCCTGGGCTTTCTCATCCAGGTGTTCCTCCGCCTGGTGTGCCACTGCGGGTCTGACTGTCCCCATGGGCTTCCGCATTCGCTGCCTCAGCCACCTGCATACGCCCTTCCCACCCTGCAGTCTGGCCGCCTCCAGGCACCTCCTTGACTAAGGCTGCTGGGGACTCTGTGATTGCCACGTCCTTAGTTGATCATGCCCCACCACCGATCTGTGGTATGCGGTGCCAGTGGACAGCTCTCCAGGAAGAAGCTCCATCGCCTGCCCCAGGCTTCCTCTGCTGCTCCCGCATGCATCACCACACTTCTTTCTTATCTGCAAGTCTTGGGATTCAGTTGTCCATGGTCCATTTTTCTTTTAAGTTTTACTTTGTACGCAGGTTCTCCGGTTTTGCTCTTTGCCACGTTATGTTATTGGATTTTGTTTTCTGTTTGTATATTCTGTTTCTCTGAATTTCTGAATTGTAGCTGGCACACAACATACGTGTTTGCTCCTTAGTATTTACCCCTTTCTTAAAAGCATGGGTATTCCTTTATTCGAGTACCATGGAGTTCTTGAGTTTGGGGAATTAACACGGTTTCCTTTTAGTCTACCTTTTATGTTCTAGTTTTGTAGTTTTTCTCCAGAACAGGATCCATCCCAGGATCCTGGATTGTGTTGCCTGCTGTGGGGTCCCCTCCTGGGTGTGTGCACGCAGACTCAGAGCCTGGAGCTGGGGGAGGTTGGCTGTGGACCTGGGTTCGGTCCCGGCCCCCTGACTTCATGTATCGTCTGGGAGACTCGGGACAACGTTATTTGTTTTTGAACCTCAGTTTTTTCAAACCTTAAGTAAGAATAATAACGGAATGCATCTCTTAGGGTTGGGTGCTCAGCACTATGCTTGGTTCATAGTATGCCCTTGGTAAATGTCAGCTATGGACATCTTTCCGGAAATTTCCCCGAGTCTCCCACGACAGAGTCAGGTGTCAAAAACCAATCTCATTTTCCTGCTGCAAACTGGCCCCTAGTTCTGTGTTTTCTTTTTCAGTCATCGGGCTGTGATTTCCCTGCCCAGGATCCAGGAACATGCCTACCCTCTTGCCCCCGCTTTTTTCTCCTCCCCTCTCCTGGTCCCCAACAGTGAGGCTTAGTGACTCTTAACCCAGTCTCCCAACTGCTCTCCCAGCCCTGGGACCTGCCAGAGTGGCCTTGCCCAGGTGTCAGGCTCTGCACAACACTCACGTTTCCCCCAACCTCCTGCAGGGTTGACCAACCCTCCTGAGCATTCCTTCCCCACCTGTATTTCAGCCATTCGAGGCAGCTCCCTCTTCTGCTCCCAAGCTCTTGCGTGGAAGGCCTCTTCCTCTCTCTGTCCGTCCTGTGTAGCTCCTCTGCTGCGCACTGCCCATGCCGTGCTGTCACCCGCTGCCCCTGATTTCAAGCAGCATCTTCGAGCATTATGATATGAACTGTGGGGCTTCTTCCATAGGGGAAGGAGTTTTGGGTCAGTAGGGCTTCTGTCTTACGTTTTCTTCCTGTCACTCTTCATAAATGCTTACAGGATGAAAGCCTTGGGAGGCATAGAGTAAACTGATTTATGTGGAAATCGTGGAGGGCTTTGAATATGAAAACTTTGATACCAGTATCACGTTAGAAACTAGAGAACTGTTCACTTGGATGTCCCCACACAAGCCCCTCGGTTCTTCCCCACCTCCCTCCAGGGCCGTTTCACAGTGGGCGGAAACGGATTGCTACTTTGTCAGAAATTCTTCAGGTCCACTGAGAACACCTGCTCCAGTCTTGCCCTTTCCTACCCTTCCAGGAGGAGGGTCTGAGCGCGTTGTTCTCTGCTTCAGGTCCATTGTCTGCTGAGTCAACATCAGGCACCTCCTCAGGGTGGCAGCCAGGCCCTTTCCTCAGGCCCCACACGCCCTCTACACTTTCACCTTTTCCACTGCTTTCCTGCCTTGAACGTGCCTCATTCCCTTCATCTCCAGACTGTTCTGTCTACTCAGTGCTTTCTAGCATTCCCTTTTAAAACTCTGTTCTAGAAAAACTCAGCCATTATTTCTTTTTTTAATTTTAATTTTTTAACCCTTTAGTGAACTTACGTGTATCACACGGCTTGTTAGGAAAAACAGCAGCCCTTTGTTCCCACCAGTTCCCACCTAGAGGTAATCACTTTCAACTCAGCTGACCCTTGGAATTTGCCCCCGTATCTCTAGAAAATGTGCTAGTACTCCTGCTCAACTTTTTGGTTTAGGGCAGCGTAAATGTCGCTTTCCACCAGGAAAGATAAGAGTTAGCTTTCTGTTAGCCCTTTCAGGCCCATCTCCTGCCCTCCAGCCCCCCATTCTCCCCAGAGAGTCACACAAGTGACTTTGCCCCTGGTGTCCAGATCCGGGCACAGTGTGGCTGCGCCGTCGATGCCTGAGCTCTCCGGCCACCAAGCCCTGCTTCTGCCCCTTGCTCTGCCTGGACTGTGTGCCCTCCTCCTGCGCCAGCCCTGCTTCCTGGGCCTGCAGCTCAGTGAGGCCAGGCTGGTCATCCTGTCTAGGTCCAGACCCTTTGGTGCACAGCCCGCTGCGTCCTAGCTGCTGTCTGACAGGGCCACCTTGAGGGCCTTGGTGCCATGTGCCTGCCCCCTGCTTGGGAGCTGTCTCCCCGCCTCTAGGTCCTCTCAGGCAGGGCAGGTTTGCATCCCCGGGCACCTGTCATTTCTTTTTTTTTTTTTTTTTTTTT